TAACACTAACTAGCACTAACAATAACTAGCACTAACACTAACTAGCACTAACTAGCACTAACACTAACTAGCACTAACTAGAACTAACACTAGCTAGCACTAACTAGCACTAACACTAACTAGCACCAACACTAACTAGCACTAACTAGCACTACCACTAACTAGCACTAACACTATCTAGCACTAACTAGCACTAACACTAACTAGCACCAACACTAACTAGCACTAACTAGCACTAACACTAGCTAGCACTAACTAGCACTAACACTAACTAGCACCAACACTAACTAGCACTAACTAGCACTACCACTAACTAGCACCAACACTAACTAGCACTAACTAGCACTACCACTAACTAGCACTAACTAGCACTAACACTAACTAGCACTAACACTAACTAGCACTAACACTAACTAGCACTGACACTAACTAACACTAACTAGCACTAACACTAACTAGCACTAACTAGAACTAACACTAACTAGCACTAACACTAACTAGCACTAACACTAACTAACACAAACTAGCACTAACACTAACTACCACTCACACTAACTAGAACTAACACTCACTAACACTAACTAACACTAACTAGCACTAACACTAACTACCACTCACACTAACTAGAACTAGCACTAACTAACACTAACTAGCACTAACACTAACTAGCACTAGCACTAACTAACACTAACTAGCACTAACACTAACTAGCACTAAATACCATTCACACTAACTAGCACTATCTAGCACTAACACTAACTAGCAATAACACGAACTAGCACTAACTAGCAAGAAGTAGCACTATGACTAACACTAACTAGCACCAACACTAACTAGCACTAACAATAACTAGCACTAACACTAACTAGCACTAACTAGCACTACCACTACTAACACTAACTAGCACTAACACTAACTAGCACTAACACTAACTAGCACTGACACTAACTAACACTAACTAGCACTAACACTAACTAGCATTAACTAGCACTAACTAGAACTAACACTAACTAGCACTAACGCTAACTAGCACTAACAATAGCTAGCACTAACACTAACTAGCACTAACTAGCACTAACACTAACTAGCACTAACACTAACTAGCACTGACATTAACTAACACTAACTAGCACTAACACTAACTAGCACTCACACTGACACTAACAAACACACTCACACTAACACTGACACTCACACTGACACTCACACTGACACTCACACTAACACTGACACTCACACTGACACTGACACTCACATTGACACTCACACTGACACTGACACTCACACTGACACTTACACTGACACTCACACTCACACTGACACTCACACTGACACTGACACTCACACTGACACTGACACTCACACTGACACTCACACTCACACTGACACACACACTGACACTGACACTGACACACTGACACTGACACTAACAAACACACTGACACTCACACTCACACTGACACTCACACTGACACTAACACTGACACACAATGACACTGACACTGACACACACACTGACACTCACACTGACACTAACACTGACACACAATGACACTGACACTGACACACACACTGACACTCACACTGACACTAACACTGACACTCACACTGACACTAACACTGACACTCACACTGACACTCACACTGACACTCACACTAACACTGACACTCACACTGACACTGACACTAACACTGACACTAACACTGACACTCACACTGACACTGACACTCACACTGACACTCACACTGACACTCACACTAACACTGACACAGACATCGACACTCACACTGACACTGACACTCACACTGACACTCACACTGACACCCACACTCACACTGACACTGACACTAACACTCACAATGACACTTACACTAACACTGACACCCACACTCACACTAACACTCACACCCACACTCACACTGACACTGACACTTACACTGACACTAACACCCACACTCACACTGACACCCACACACACACTGACACTGACACTGACACCGACACTCACACTCACACTGACACCCACACTCACACTGACACTCACACTGACACTCACACTAACACTCACACTGACACTCACACTAACACTCACACTAACACTGACACTAACACTGACACTAACACCCACACTCACACTAACACTGACACCCACACTGACACTCACACTCACACTGACACTCACATTGACACTAACACTGACACTGATACTCACATTGACACTCACACTGACACTAACACTCACACTGACACTCACACTCACACTGACACCCACACTGACACTCACATTGACACTAACACTGACACTGATACTCACACTGACACAGACACTCACATTGACATTCACACTGACACTCACACTAACACTGACACCCACACTGACACTGACAATGACACTCACACTGACACTGACACTCACACTAACACTAACACTGACACCCACACTAACACTGACACAGACACTCACATTGACACTAACACTCACACTGAAACTCACACTGACACACTCACACTGACACTCACACTGACACTCACACTGGCACTCACACTGACACTAACACTGACACTGACACTCACACTGACACTCACACTGCCACTCACACTGACACTGACACTCACACTGACACTCACACTGACACTAACACTGACACTGACACTCACACTGACACTCACACTGACACTAACACTGACACTGACACTCACACTGACAATGACACTCACACTGACACTAACACTGACACTGACACCCACACTCACACTGACAATGACACACTGACACCCACACTCACACTGACACTGACACTCACACTCACACTGACACCCACTCTAACACTCACACTGACAATGACACACTGACACCCACACTCACACTGACACTGACACTAACACTCACAATGACACTCACACTCACACTGACACTGACACTCACACTGACACCCACACTAACACTCACACTGACACTCACACTGACACTCACACTAACACTCACACTCACACTGACACTCGCACTGACACTGACACACTCACACTGACACTGACACTCACACTGACACTCACACTAGCACTCACACTGACACTCATACTGACACTCACACTGACACTCACACTGACACCCACACTGACACTCGCACTGACACTCACACTGACACTGACACTCACACTGACACTCACACTCACACCCACACTCACACTGACACTAACACTGACACCCACACTCACACTCACACTGACACTCACACTAACACTCACACTCACACTGACACTCACACTGACACTAACACCCACACTGACACTCGCACTGACACTCACACTGACACTCACACTGACACGCTGACAATGACACTAACACTCACACTGACACTGACACTAACACTCACACTGACACTCACACTGACACTGACACTGACACACTGACACTGACACTCACACTAACACTGACAATGACACTCACACTGACACTGACACTAACACTGACACCCACACTCACACTGACACTGCCACTAACACTGACACCCACACTCACACTGACACCCACACTCACACTGACACTCACACTGACACTCACACTCACACTGACACTCACACTGACACTCACACTGACACTCACCCTGACACTCACACTGACACTCACACTGACACTCATACTGACACGCTGACAATGACACTGACACTCACACTGACACACTCACACTGACACTCACACTGACACTAACACCCACACTGACACTCGCACTGACACTGACACTAACACTCACACTGAGACTGACACTCACACTGACACTAACACTCACACTGACACTGACACTAACACCCACACCCACACTGACACTCACACTGACACTCACACTGACACGCTGACAATGACAGTGACACTCACACTGACACACTCACACTGACACTCACACTGACACACTCACACTGACACTCACACTGACACTAACACCCACACTGACACTCACACTGACACTAACACCCACACTCACACTGACACTCACACTGACACTCACACTGACACACTCACACTGACACTGACACCCACACTCACACTCACACTGACACTCACACTGACACACTCACACTGACACTCACACTGACACTCACACTGACACGCTGACAATGACACTGACACTCACACTGACACACTCACACTGACACTCACACTGACACTAACACCCACACTGACACTCACACTGACACTCACACTGACACTCACACTGACACTCACACTGACACGCTGACAATGACACTGACACTCACACTGACACACTCACACTGACACTCACACTGACACACTCACACTGACACTCACACTGACACACTCACACTGACACTCACACTGACACTAACACCCACACTGACACTCACACTGACACTGACACTAACACTCACACTGAGACTGACACTCACACTGACACTAACACCCACACTCACACTCACACTGACACACTCACACTGACACTGACACCCACACTCACATTCACACTGACACTCACACTGACACACTCACACTGACACACTCACACTGACACTCACACTGACACACTGACACTCACACTGACACACTCACACTGACACTGACACCCACACTCACATTCACACTGACACTCACACTGACACACTCACACTGACACACTCACACTGACACTCACACTGACACACTGACACTCACACTGACACACTCACACTGACACTGACACACTCACACTGACACACTGACACACTCACACTGACACCCACACTCACACTGACACTACCCCCACCCCCGTGTAACCGCTGCAGGCGAGTCGTGTCGATCCGTGTCGTGTTAAAGAGCCAGTGGCCTCCACACGTCAGCAGTGGGAACACAACGAATGACAACCCCCCCCCACCGTGCCCGGCACACGCCGTCCAGTATACCTCGACGTCTTTGCGGCTACCACAGCCGCTTAGCGCCGCTGCCGTGGACCTGGTCTCTCACGCCGTGGGTGCGGAACGTCGGACATCACGAACATTCCCGACTTACCGCAGAGGAGGTAGCGTCCGGTGAAGTCGCCATCTCCCCGCGATGGCCTCGCGCAGGTGGGGCGGGGCCTCGTGCAGGTGGGGCGGGGCCACGCGCAGGTGGGGCAGGGCCACGCGCGCAGGTGGGGCGGGGCCACGCGCAGGTGAGGCGGGGCCACGCGCAGGTGAGGCGGGGCCACGCACAGGTGAGGCGGGGCCACGCGCAGGTGGGGCGGGGCCACGCACAGGTGAGGCGGGGCCACGCGCGCAGGTGGGGCGGGGCCACGCGCAGGTGGGGCGGGGCCACGCGCAGGTGAGGCGGGGCCTCGCTTAGGTGAGGCGGGGCTACGCGCGCAGGTGAGGCGTGGCCACGTGCGCAGGTGGGGCGGGGCCACGCGCAGGTGGGGCGGGGCCACGCGCAGGTGGGGCGGGGCCACGCCCACAGCCTTACACCAGCCAATCAGCACCCTGCGAATGGCCCTATACGTACATAATATAATAGGCGACGTTTCAGGTCGTGACCTTTCTCCATAGCACATAGGCCGTTGGAGAGGTAAGTGTCAAAGCCATTTCAAGTGAATTAACTCACACGGTGGCTAGGAGATGTTAACTACCTCGCTAGGTGTACAGGAGGTCGTGGGTTCGACCCCGACCCTGACGCCTGCTGCTGCTGCTGTATTTTTGGAGTCTGCGTCTCTCTCCCCGTGGTCGCGTGGATTTTTCTCCGGGTCCTCTGATTTCCCCCCCCCCCCCATCCACATTGAGAATGAACGTCACCACGACGTTCAGAGTATTTGTCTGCTGCGATGGATATCTACGTGATGATGATGATAGTGGTGATGATAGTGGTGATGATGATAGTGATGATGATAGTGGTGATGATAGTGGTGATGATAGTGGTGATGATGATAGTGATGATAGTGGTGATGATAGTGGTGATGATAGTGATGATGATAGTGATGATAGTGGTGATGATAGCGATGATGAGGATAGTAATGATGATAGTGGTGGTGATGATGATAGTGATGATAGTGGTGATAATAGTGGTGATGATAGTGATGATGATAGTGATGATGATAGTGATGATGATAGTGATGATGATAGAGATGATGATGACAGTGATGATGATAGTGGTGATGATGATAGCGATGATGATAGTGGTGATGATGGTAGTGATGATAGTGGTGATGATGATAGTGATGATGATAGTGATGATAGTGATGATGATAGTGGTGATGATAGTGATGATAGTGATGATGATAGTGATGATAGTGATGATAAGAGTGGTGATGATAGTGGTGATGATGATAGTGATGATGATAGTGGTGATGATGATAGTGATGATGATAGTGGTGATGATGATAGTGATGATGATAGTGGTGATTATAGTGATGATGATAGTGATGATGATGATAGTGGTGATGATGATAGTGATGATGATAGTGGTGATGATGATAGTGATGATGAGAGTGGTGATGATGATAGTGGTGATGATGATAGTGATGATGATGGTGGTGATGATGATAGTGATGATGAGAGTGGTGATGATGATAGTGGTGATGATGATAGTGATGATGATGGTGGTGATGATAAGCTCACTTGAGCTATCATGCGTGATATCCAGGTCGCTTCTGACCTGGATGTCACGCAGCTAAGCGGAGCCTTAGGGCCGTCCATAAATGACGTCACGCACCTGGAGGGGGGTCAGACATTTGTGACGATGTGTGACGAGGGTGGGGGGGCGGTTGAGAAATGTGACGTCACATCAAAATGCGCAACTTTAAATAAATAAAGACAACACGTTCTACTTAATTAAATAGACTTTTTAATAAATGTTTTCTCCTACAATATCACAGTGCAGCGCCACATTAAACATGCACTACAATGTGACAATAGTTTAAAGCGATTTGAAGCATTGGTTTTATTTTCAAAATGGAAATATGTTTTTTTTTGGGGGGGGGGGGTGGGGGGCAGAGCTTTGTGACGTCATATTTGAGGGGGGGGGGTCTGACGGTGTGTTAAGGGGGGGGTTAGGTTAAAAAAATCGTCCAAAATCGCGTGACGTCATTTATGGACGGGCCCCCATTACCTGGTCAAACGAAATAAAAAAAAGTAGAAATAGTTTGATTTAAAATAAAAAAAAATAAAAACTCCATGGGCAAAACAAAGGAGGCCATCGCCGGTGCTCATTAAGAAGGGTCATTGCCCGAAACGTCGCCTGTTTATTGGCACGCGAATCGGGCGATGCACGTGCGCACGCGTGGAGTCACGCCCCCTTACCGGGATGATTGACGGCACGCGGGGTCCGCCACGTGACAACATAACCAAAGACAAAGTTCCCCGTGTAGCCTCGACAGACTGTAGGGGCAAGTGCTGTTAGCGGCACGGCACACGAGGGGGTGGGTGGCCAACACCACGCCCGGCCGCCTTTGTCTCCCCAGTGGCGATGCTTTTTTTCTTTTTACGCACCGCACCAGGTACTCATTTGAGGCTGAGTCGACCTAGGGGAGGCCCAGGACCGGTTCGTATAATCGTCACTGGTGTTGGCCGCGAGCGGGAATCGAACTCGGGTCGCCGGGTTCGTAGCGCAGCGTAGCGCTAACCGCGGCACCACCGCTCCACCCTTGGCCACAGAAGGCGACACGCACACAACCCGCGGGTAAGAAGGGAGTGTGGAACAGATGGAGATTAGTCCACACACTCTGATGTACCGCCTTCTCACGGCAGAGTCTGGGGGTACAGTTCCTCCTCCACACACACCCACAGGGTTAGCAAGGGAGTGTGGAACAGATGGAGATTAGTCCACACACTCTGATGTACCGCCTTCTCACGGCAGAGTCTGGGGGTACGGCTCCTCCTCCATTCACACCCACAGGGTTAGCGAGGGAGTGTGGAACAGATGGAGATTAGTCCACACACTCTGATGTACCGCCTTCTCACGGCAGAGTCTGGGGGTACGGCTCCTCCTCCATTCACACCCACAGGGTTAGCGAGGGAGTGTGGAACAGATGGAGATTAGTCCACACACTCTGATGTACCGCCTTCTCACGGCAGAGTCTGGGGGTACGGCTCCTCCTCCATTCACACCCACAGGGTTAGCAAGGGAGTGTGGAACAGATGGAGATTAGTCCACACTCTGATGTACCGCCTTCTCACGGCAGAGTCTGGGGGTACGGCTCCTCCTCCACACACACCCACAGGGTTAGCGAGTGTGGAACAGATGGAGATTAGTCCACACACTCTGATGTACCGCCTTCTCACGGCTGAATCTGGGGGTACGGCTCCTCCTCCATTCACACCCACAGGGTTAGCGAGTGTGGAACAGATGGAGATTAGTCCACACACTCTGATGTACCGCCTTCTCACGGCTGAATCTGGGGGTACGGCTCCTCCTCCATTCACACCCACAGGGTTAGCGAGTGTGGAACAGATGGAGATTAGTCCACACACTCTGCTACACCGCCTTCTACCAGCAGAGTCTGGGGGTACGGCTCCTCCTCCACTCACACCCACAGGGTTAGCAAGGGAGTGTGGAACAGATGGAGATTAGTCCACACTCTGATGTACCGCCTTCTACCAGCAGAGTCTGGGGGTACAGCTCCTCCATCCCAAGGCCGTAATTATAATAAATATGCTCAAAATGTCCCCCCCCACCCCCCCCCCCTCCAATAAATTTCTATTAAATAGATTTCTGTTTAAATGATTGTGGCTATGGTTGTACCCTAATCTCTGCCATTACATACAATGAAACAACGTGTTGTCTATATTAAATACAATAACACTATTCTTGGTTCTTTCGGTAAAGTCACCACCACGTAGAAGGGAAATAATAAAATAGCAAAAATAAAACATGATAAAGTAAAATTCTCACGACGTTTCGGCCACAACACAAGTAGCCTTCCTCAGGTGAAGAGACATAACTGTCGGGAAGACAAAGCGCTCCAGTGAGCACTGCCAAGCTTTTAAGCTGGGTGGCAGTGTCTATTACAGTGTGTATATGTGTATATTACGGTGTGTATATGTGTATATTACATTGTGTATATATGTGTATATTATGGTGTGTATATGTGTATATTACAATGTGTATATATGTGTCTATTACAGTGTATATATGTGTATATTATGGTGTGTATATGTGTATATTACAATGTGTATATATGTGTCTATTACAGTGTATATATGTGTATATTACGGTGTATATATGTGTATATTACATTGTGTATATGTGTATATTACGGTGTGTATATGTGTATATTACGGTGTGTATATGTGTATATTACATTGTGTATATGTGTCTATTACGGTGTGTATATGTGTATATTACAGTGTATATATGTGTATATTACAGTGTATATGTGTATATTACAGTGTGTATATGTGTATATTACATTGTGTATATGTGTCTATTACAGTGTATATATGTGTATATTACGGTGTATATATGTGTATATTACATTGTGTATATGTGTATATTACGGTGTGTATATGTGTCTATTACGGAGTGTATATGTGTCTATTACGGTGTGTATATGTGTATATTACAGTGTATATGTGTATATTACGGAGTGTATATGTGTCTATTACAGTGTATATATGTGTATATTACGGTGTATATGTGTGTATTACAGTGTATATGTGTATATTACATTGTGTATATGTGTATATTACATTGTGTATATGTGTATATTACGGTGTGTATATGTGTCTATTACGGAGTGTATATGTGTATATTACAGTGTGTATATGTGTATATTACAGTGTGTATATGTGTATATTACAGTGTATATATGTGTATATTACAGTGTGTATATGTGTATATTACGGTGTGTATATGTGTATATTACGGTGTGTATATGTGTATATTACGGTGTGTATATGTGTATATTACAGTGTGTATATGTGTATATTACGGTGTGTATATGTGTCTATTACGGTGTGTATATGTGTATATTACAGTGTGTATATGTGTATATTACAGTGTGTATATGTGTATATTACGGTGTGTATATGTGTATATTACGGTGTGTATATGTGTATATTACGGTGTATATATGTGTATATTACAGTGTATATGTGTATATTACGGTGTGTATATGTGTA